TTGTCAGTCGCGACAAGTTCGGAGATCGGGTGCTTCCCACGGCGTCACCAACCATTTCAAGAAAAGGGAAGCTGGCACTCCTCAGATGGCTGCTTTCCACGGCTGGACCTTCGAGCTAGCCGACGCGAAGTCCGCCTTCCTGCAGGCCGGGCACACCGAGGAGTGGAGGAAGCTCTACACGAAGGGCGTGAAGGAGCTCCGGCAGGCCTTGCAGATCAACGAGGAGGAGTCCATGAGAGTCTTGGCAGCGATCTACGGGATCACGAATGCGCCGTGGGTTTTCTGGAAGTACGTGGACCACAAGATCCACGAAGCAGGAGGCAAGAGCGTCCTCATCGAGCCATGCATCTGGATCATTCAGGACCAGAACGGCACCGTGCGCGGGGTCATTGGCTCGCACGTGGACGACTTTGGCATCGCAGGCGACAGCGACAACAAGTTCTACCTCGACATGAAGAACATGCTGAAGGAGATGCTGCGGTGGTCTCCATGGCGAAACACGCCATGCATGTGGGCAGGCATGTGGATCACCCAGGAGCCATCGGGCAAGATCCATGCTAGCCAGGAGGAGTTCTGTCACCAGCTCCTCGAGATCAGGGTCGAGTCCGGCAAGTACCTCTCGAAGGATGACAAGCTCAAGCCGGAGGACGTCACCCAGTTCAGGGCAGGCCTGATGAAATGCCAATGGAGAGCGACACAGACAGCACCACAGTTCTCATGTCGGGTGTCACTGTTGGCTCAACGGGTGAACGAGGCGACGTTCGGAGACCTGAAGGACACGAACGCCCTCATACGCGATGTGAAGCGGACAGCTCGTGATTCCCTGGTGTTCCACAACTTCAATAGCAACGGTGGCGGTAAGCTGAAGTGGGACGACCTAGTGATCGTGACGTGGGTCGACGCAAGCAGACTACTACAACGAGGAGGCTACATCGTGGCGTTCACCACGGCCGAGATCCTCAAGCAGAAGGAATGTGCAGTATCGATCGCCGACTGGAGATCGTACAAGCTCAAGCGCACCGGCATCGGCACCAACGGTTGCGAGGGACAGGCTCTGTACGACGGCGAGAACGCGGCGTACCTGATGCGCATGCTGTGGTCAGTCATGCACGGAGTTCCAGTCACCGCGCACACCCAGGAGGAGGCGGCGCAATCCATGACCTCGGTGCTTGTGATCGACAGCCGAGGAGTTTATGATTCTGTTCACAACAAGGAGAGTTTCGGCATAGGCCTGAGCGATGCGAGGACCGGCGTGGAGGTTCTACATGTGAAGGCGAACTGCGGGCCCGAGAAGAACCAGCACCTGGCCTGGGTCCCCTCGGACCTCAATCTCACCGACGGCCTCACGAAGGACAGTCCCGAGGCAAGGAAGCCTCTGGCTCTGTGGCTTGCACGGCGTACCTGGATCATCAGGTACGATGAGGATTTCATGTCAGCCAGGAAGCGACAGCGAGCCAACAAACTCGCTCAGGACAAGCCGCAGGCATCTACCGACGCTGAAGCCGAGGCCGCCGACGCTTTAGCTTTTCTCGACCTATCTTGAGGATAGGGTCGGGCTCTTCCTCATCATTCCTTTTCATATTCGTACTGTGCAGGGCCCCTCTTTTGATCCAGTTCGGTCGGAACGGTTGAGAAGGATTTTAGGCTCATGTCGAGCCGAGGCGACTCGAGCGAAGTTTTGAGTCAACCTCTCCTTCCTCTCTCTCTTTTGCCGCCGCCTCCGCGGCTGTATGGGATCGAGGAGGGGGCCCCCTCTTTTGTGCAGAGAGCGCGGCAGACACGCTCGCCGGCACGGGCCGGCGCCAGATGCTCGACGGACGAGCACAGCACATCTCATCGTGCAAAGTACAGCGTCGACGTTAATCACGACAATGATGATGAGGAGGAGGAGGTGGAGGAGGAGGAGGAGGAGGTGGAGACGGAGGAGGAGGAGGAAGATGAAAAGGATGGGGAGGAGGAGAAAGAGAAGGTTGTGGAGGAGGAGGAGGAGTAGGAGGAGAAGGAGGAGGAGGTGGAGGAGGTGGAGGAGGAGGAGGAGGCCTCCAGGAGGAGGAGGAGGGGAGGAGAGGAGGAGGAGGAGCAGGAGGAGGATGAGGAGGAGGACGAGAGATGATGATGATGATGATGATGATGAGGAGGAGGAGGAGGAGGAGGAGGATGCGGAGGGCGAGGAAGAGGAGGAGGGGAGGAGGAGGCGGTAGGGAGGAGGAAAGGAGGCGGAACAGGAGAAGAAAGGGGGATGGGATAGGGGAAGGGGGAGGGGAGGAGTATGAGGGAGAGGAAGAGGACGAGGACGAGGTCGAGGACGAGGAGGAGGAGGAGAAGGCGGGGAGGAGGAGGAGGAGGAGGATGGGAGGAGGAGGAGGGAGGAGGGGTTTTTTTATATCTTTTTTGGGGAAGGAGAGGTAGGTGGAGGAGGAGGAGGTGGGGGGAGGAGAGGAGGAGGGGGGAGGAGGGAGGAGGGGGATGGAGGAGGAGGAGGAGGAGGAGGAGGCGACGAGGGGAGGAGGAGGAGGAGGAGGACGAGGAGGAGGAGGAGGAGGACGAGGAGGAGGAGGAGGAGGAGGTGGAGGTGGAGGAGGAGGAGGAGGAGGAAGCATAAGAGGTGGAGGAGGAGGAGGAGAAGGAGGAGAGAGGAGGAGGAACAATGAGGAGAGGAGGGGGAGGAGAAGGAGGAGGAGGAGGAAGAGGAGGAGGAGGAAGAGGAGGAGGAGGAGGAAGAGGGGGAGGAGGAGGAGGAGGAGGAGGAGGAGGAGGAGGAGGAGGAACGACCAGCATCCTGCGTGCCTACCATTCAGGCGGTAGCCCCGCGCTGAGAATGAACTGCCTTGCGTGTGACTGGCATGCAAGCAAGAACGGGGAATGCGACACTGTATGGGCATAATGTCTAACGAGGTGTCCGGCGATTTCCTTTTGAACAGGTGCCGCCCCAGATGTGCAACTGGTGCGCAAGTTTGCTTTTCTGGTGATCGGCTTCCAGGAAGACTCAAGCGATAGCCACACTCTGAAGACGAGCGGTCCTCCGTCCGTGCAGAAGTTACGTGTGGGTGCGAGTGAGCTCCAGCCTCTGGTATGTAAGTTTGAGGAAGCCTCCGGCGAATGTCTTAGTCTGAACTTGAACCGTCCCCCACCAATGGAACTGCTGCAAACGTTTAAGACGAATCCGCGCGGCGTTGATGGTAGAGCCGACCCCTGACAAGGAACCATCCTCAATCTTTGTAGCTGCTGCAACCTTTTGGGACGAATGCGCGCAGCGCTGAGGGGAGAGCCCATTCTGAACACGGTCCCCCTCCGTCGCGGTACCTGCTGACACGTTTCAAGACGAAAGCGCGTGGCGCTAAGGGGAGAGCCCCACTTAGAAAAGGACTTGCGCTCCGTCCTTGTGACGAACGCAAGCTTTAAGACGAGTGCGCGCTGCGCTAAGGTGAGATCCCAATCTTGGTGCACATCTCAAGCTTCAGAATTATACACAGTGGGGAAGTCTCAGGCGAAAGGCCCGGCCCTTTTACCGACACGTCTGGGGGTACGACTGGGAGGAGTCATCCGAAAGGAACAGGGATGGATGAGGAGTGTGGGTATGGACAATGTGGATGGGGGAGGGGGGGATGATGATGGAAGAGGGGGATGATGATGATGATGAGGAAGAGGAGGAGGGCGATAGATGGGGGAGGAGGGGGAGGAGGATGGAGCAAGGGGGGAAGGGAAGAGGAGGAGGAGGAGGAAGGAGGGGAGGAGGAGGAGGGGAGGAGGAGGAGGAGGAGGAGGAGGAGGAAGGAGGAGGAGGAGGAGGAGGAGGAGGAGGAGGGTGGAGGAGGAGGAGGAGGAGGAGGAGGAGGAGGAGGAGGAGGAGGAGAGAAGAGGAGGAGGAGGAGGAGGAGGAGGAGGAGGAGGAGGAGGAGGAGGAGGAGGAGGAGGAGGAGGAGGAGGAGGAGGAGGAGGAGAGGAGGAGGAAGGAGGGGAGGAGGAGGAGGAGGAGAGAGGAGGAGGAGGAGGAGGAGGAGGAGGAGGAGGAGGAGGAGGAGGAGGAGGAGGAGGAGGAGGAGGAGGAGGAGGAGAAGGAGGAGGAGGAGGGGGAGTGGGAGGGGGAGGGGGAGGACGACGCGACAGGCTCATGGACGAGGCGCGCGGCGCGAGCAGAAGCCTGGAGCCCAACCCGGTGCGCCAGCTCGAGCATGACCTCGACGACCTCCTGGACTCGGCGCGGCAGGCCCAAGAGCAGCTGCAGGCCCTGGTGGCGCCCTCGCAGGGCGCCTGGCCTCCGGGCCAGGTGGCAGAGAAACCCGAGGCCCTCGGGGGGAACACCAGGGGGGGAGGGGGGGGGCAAGAAAAACAGAGGCGGGGGGGTGGGAGGTGAGGGAGGAGGGGAGGGGATGGGGGAGGGGTGGGCGAGGGAGGGGGGAGGTGGAGAGGGAGAGGGGGAGGAGGGAGGTGGGAGAACACCGGGGGGAGGGGATGGGGGGAGGGGGGGGGAGGGAGGGGAGAGAGCCTGCCTGCTGTCTCCGCCTGGCCCCTTTTCCGCCTGCGCGTTCGTCGTCGTCTGCCTGCTTCTCCCCTCCTCGTCCCCTTCCGCCGCGCAGCACAGCCTGCCCGGGCGTGGTGGCGTGCAGGGCGTCAGCAGGCGCTCCCACGCGGCAGTCACCCCTCGACTCCGCGAATGTCTTCCATGTCTGCGGGGGGTCTTCTTCCGAAATAGAGTAACAGTACAAATACTAATATTACCCCAGTGCGACCCTACCTAGAAGTTGGAGCCCCTAGGAAAGCAGCAATAGTTGCTATGCTATGCTATGCCATGCCATGCCATGTTATGCTGCGCTATGCTATGCTATGCTATGCTATGATATGCTATGTCATGCTGTGTTATGCTTAGCTATGCTATGATATGCTATGATAAGCTGCGCTATGCTATGGTATGATATGCTACGCTATGTTATACTATGCTATACCATGCTGTGCTATGCTAAGCTATGGCATGATATGCTATGCTATGCTAAGCTGCGCTA